AAAAATAATTTCTCAGCATGTACACAATAATACATGTGTGAAAAACACCATTGTAAAGCTACTGTCAGTGGGTCGGTCACTGTGTGGACAAACACTGGTTCTATGTGTATATGCTGTCTTATCTACTGTATATGAGCTTCCTAAAACATTAACAGAGACATCTTTTCTTAGTCTGCTTATAGTTACTGACACAAATGCACCACAGACCTTCAGGCAGAGTCCTTCCATCAAAAAACGTGATGGGTTTGGTGGTTCTTCTGAATATTCCTGGTACAGGGGGGTAGAGGCGGAGGGATTCCTTTATGCACATTGTAGTGTATGGAATTTTACTAAGATCCTCCCTAAAAATAACACAGATGCACAGTGTAAGTGATCAATAACAATAAAGTGAAAGCCTAAATGCCACTCAAAACAGCTGTTGCCACAACATGTTGTCATCATGGAAACCTTTTCAATGTGTAAACCTACCACTCCATGGTGTCCTTGCCACCCAGGGCCTCAATGATCTCATCCCTGCAAAGCTTCTGGTGTTCTGGGTGGCAGGCCAGACAGTAGAGGGTGAAAGAGATGCCACTGGCTGTGGTGTCATGGCCCTCAAACATGAAGGTGTCCACCTCTGCTCGTATGTCTTCATCTGACAGACCCTGCTGCTCCTCATCCTGAAGGCGACATAAAAGACGAAAATACAAAAATGAACATGCTGTTACTTCAGCTCCCATTAATAATACAACAAATAGTAACTATTTCTATCAGGTGTACTATCTACTCTATTTGTAGAGCACTTTTAAAAACATGTACTGTACTTTACAACACATTGTACAACATGAACAGCATACCATAATAAAAATACATCATACATCTTAATAAGAGCTCATAAAATATCTGTTGGCAATTATGACAGTCAGGCTGGTGTTGCACAGTGGGAGTAGACAGGCATAACACATGCCTATCTACTCCCACTCCAGAACAAAGACAGAGTTAGCCACAAGGAAACTGGGCTTTCCAAATTGTGAGAAAACTGGTAAAAACTGGAAATAAGGGCAGCTGACAAGCCAAGTTCACCGTGTGTATTTGGAAGGAGGAGACA